GACTCCGCTCCCCGGAGCCCTGGGGCCCGGCCCGGCAGTTTTTTCCCCGGTGAAGAGCGCGCTGCTCTGAGCCGCGTGGAGGCGTTTTCGCTAAGGAGAACGTGTGGGAAACAGTGGAAAAGGCTTTCCTGAGGTCTGGGCGGGCAACACCCACGGTCTTTCCTTCATCCACTGAGCGGGGCACTGTGTCATAAAAGGAGGTTGGTCAAGCAGGACCTGCCCTTCATAAACCCGTGGGCCTGATTGTCTTGCTGTCCTGCAAGATGGTGCTCGTGACTATCTGCTCCGTAACCTCCCCTAGCACCGAGGTCTGACAGGCCTGTAGTCCCCTGGGTCTCCTTCTGACCCTTCTTGTGGGTGGGGGTCACATCTGCCACTCCCCAGTCTACTGGGACCTCCCCAGGTACCCAGGACTGCTGGGAAATGATTAGAAGTGGCTTGGTGAGCACTGTGGCCAGCTCCCTCAGGCCCCTGGAATCGATCCCATGGGGCCCCATAGACCTGAGTGGTACAGGAGGTCACTGACCATTTCCCTGTGGATTATGGAGACTCCATTCTGTTCCCTGTCCTTAACTTCTAGCTCAGGCACTTGGTACCCAAACAACTGATCATACTGCTAAGGCTAAGAAGGCATTAAGCACCTCAGCCTTTTCCTCATCCTTTGTCACTAAGTCTCCCCACACATCCGATGAAGGATTCTTAGCTCTCCTTTTGTTGCTAATATATTTAGAGAAAAATTGTTCATTGTATTTGACAGTTCTAGTTGGGCATCTTGTCCAAAAAGCAGGACAGAAATGTTTCCTTGGGAAACACCAGGAGGGCAGCCTCTCACAAAGGTGATTTCCCTCCCATTTGTTTTCCTATTCCTGAAGGGAAAAGCACGGAAGAGGTCATCTGGGGACTTGCCATGTGAAGGTTGGCAGCAGGAGCTGGCCCTGCCCTATGATGAGCTTGATGAATGCTGGCCCAGTGGTGGCCCTTCAGGTGCTACAAAGGAAGGGGAGCATTGTGGCACCAAGTGCTGTAACAGGCTCCTGCAGAGGGGTCATTTATCTGCATTAACCAATTAGCCTTGTCCTTTCCAATCGTCACTGGGGATCCTGCAATCCTCCAGAACCCACCAGTGTGATCTTCTCTCCTGGGACTGAACTGGAAGCTCAGCAACTTGGTGAGCACCTGAGCCTTGCCACACATCTTTTGCAGATGGCTGCTCTACAGAGTCCCCAGCACCCCCCTATCTCCAGACAGAGTCAGGCCTTGGGAACTGGCAGTGCCAGATACCACACAGGAAAGGGTGGGATCCTGGTGGTGGATGTTGAGCAGGTGTCCTTCCACCACCCACCCACTTCAGCTGCAGCTCTTGGGCTGGGCAAGCGTGGTGTTGTTACCTGTCACAAAGTGCTGAGGCCTTTTCTACCAGGTGAGCAGAAAAGCTCCCAGTTGAGAAATGTATTTTGTGGTCAGTCCAGCTCCCACACCTTCAGCTTGAGAACACAATCTTGATTTATTTTGTCCAGCAGAGGAGCCCAGATCCCCTGAGCTGACTGGTCACGTCTACATTTAGCCCATAGGCAGGGCTAAAAACTGCAACAGTTGTTCTATCATCCCCCAGCTGAGAAGGGAGAGCAGGAAAAGGGAAGGAGACCCATGGGATGAAGTGAAAACAGATTTAAAGAAACAGCAAAACTACTATGATGTACAAGCTATACTCAACCTGTTGGAAAATAACTCAGAAATTTAGAATTATATAGTTATTTTGTGCAAGATGTGTTCTGTTAAAATTGCAGTCAGAGAGGCACACAGTACCACAACCAGCACTAAAAATTACATCATGCAATCACCAGGCCTCAAAGAAGGCAATTAATCAAGAGGCTTAGGGACTGTCTCATGTAAATCACCAACCTGGCAGAGAAGTCTCTTTGTCTGCATTTCAGGAAACAGTAACAAACCCAGTAAATGTACGGTGCTCACAACAAATGGGATAACAGTCCTCAGGAGCAGCATGATAAGCAGCCCTCCTCCAGGGGTGGTGGCTATTGAGGAAAAGAGAAGATAGAGCCCCCCATCCTCAGGAAACTTCCCCCTTTATGATGAGAATGATGTGGATGGGATGGATACGCCCATCTGCCCACTTGAGTCAGCTGGCCTGGCT